TCTTCGGCAGCTCTGTCACGATCGGGGCTATCTGGTGACCCAGGACGAGCTGGATCAGACGCTGGAGGAGTTCAAGGCGCAGTTCGGTGACAAACCCAGCGAGGGGCGGCCCCGCCGCACCGACCTGACGGTGTTGGTGGCTCACAACGACGATCCCACCGACCAGATGTTCGTCTTCTTCCCGGGTGAGCCCAGCCGGCTCCGGCCGCGGTTCCCGGGGGTCGGGAGCCGGGCGGGAGAATCATAAATTCATCACAGAACCAGACAATCCTCATAGAATCCTCACAGAACCATAGAATCATCATAGAACCATAAAGTCCCAGGTTGGAAGGGACCTCAGGGACCATCTGCCCCAACCTTTCTCGGCCAAAGCACGGTCTAGACATGGTGGCCCAGCCGAACCTTAAAAGTGCCCAATCCACCGCTTCCCTGGGGAGGTTATTCCTACGGCTGGTTGCTCTCACTGTGAAGAATCTTCCTCTTGTGTTCAGTCGGAATCTCCCCAGGAGTAACTTGTACCCGTTACCCCTCATCTTTTCCATGTGAGTCCTCGTAAAAAGGGAGTTTCCATCTTCGTTGTAGCCACCCTTTAAATACTGGAACGCGGTGATAAGGTCACCCCTAATCTCTCTTTTCTTAAGGTTGAGCAAACACTGTTCTCTCAGCCTTTCCTCATGTGGCAGGCTTCCCCATCTTCGGATCATCTTGGTAGCCCTTCTCTGGACTCTCTCCAGCCCGGCCATAGCTTTTTTGCATAGTAGGGACCAAAACTGAGCACAGTATTCCAGGTGTGGCCTGACCAGTGCTGAGTAGAGTGGGATGATGACTCCTTTATCTCAGCTGGTGATGCAGCCCAGCACCCAGTTGGCTTTGCCACAGCAGCACGCTGCTCACTCACATTGAGCTTGTTGTCCACCAGGACCCCCAGGGCCCTTCTCACAGCGCTGTTCCCCAGCCGGGTAGATCCTCACCTGTGCTGCATTCCTCGATTATGTTTTCCCAGGTGCTAAACCTTACGCTTGTCCTTCTTGAACTTCATAAGGTTCTTGTTAGCCCACTCTTCCAGGCTACCCAGGTATTTCTGCTGCCAGAAGGGCTAGCTTTGCTTTCTGAAGGGATTAATAGAAAGAGGGAGGGCTCTTTGTAATCTCTTTCCATTGTAACTCCTTCCTCAGAGGAGCCCAAGGTTGGAATAAAGACGATCAAGATGTACTGCCAGAGAATGCAGGAGGAGAACATCACCAGAGCGCTGATTGTGGTGCAGCAAGGCATGACCCCCTCGGCAAAGCAGGTACACAGTACCGTAAAAGAAGGCTGCCTGGGAGTCAGAGGGTCGCTGTGGGCTGTGGACGTCTTGCTTGTCTGTTTTTCAGTGCTGCTTTAGGTGAATAAAAGCTTAGGATGTCCTTCCAGATAAAATCTTTTGCTAAAGCCTGTTGTACCTTAATGCAGGCTGTTGCTTAACATTTAACCAGAACAACTGGTTCTGGTTCCAGAAGAACAACTGAGGGCCCAGCAGTAGTCAAGAGAAAAGGGGATGTTTGTCAGTGGTGAAGAGATCTGTTTGCCCTTTGCCTGCGTAGCTGTATCCGTGTGAGCATGAGTGTAGTGATCCCACACTCGCAGTGACTGGTGGTCACTGGGGAGCAGAGCTGAGCACAGGCAGGGCTGTCCCAGCGCGGTGCTGCTGTCTGACAGACCTTTCCCTTTCCAGTCCCTGGTAGATATGGCTCCCAAATACATCCTGGAGCAGTTCCTGCAGCAGGAGCTTCTGATCAACATCACAGAGCACGAGGTGAGCGGTGTCGGGCCGCGGAACGAGGGCGGGATGCTCAGCCTTTGGTGCTGAGCTGCAGCTCAGGCTGCTCCCAGAGACCTCCTCTCGGCTGGAGGGCCGGGCTGAGTAACGCCGTCGTAATTTTCTTCAAGTTGCTTCTCCCGCCACTGTGAGGAGCCAGTCGCTTTCTTTGGCTTTCTAATCTTACAGTCTCTCGCTGTTGTTTACAGTTGGTCCCAGAGCACGTCGTGATGACAAAGGAAGAAGTAACCGAGCTACTGGCCAGATAGTATCCTTTGTTCCTTCCCTTCCTGCCTGGGTGTGAGGCGTACTTGCTTTGGGCCGAAAATGAATACATCCGTGTGTGACGGTTTATTACTTTGTTCCATGCGCTGCGCTAACGAAGGGGTGTCTGTGCCAGTCGCGTGTTCTGCTGGGGGAGCTTCTCCTTGACTCCCTGCGCAGTAAGCTGAGAGAGAACCAGCTCCCGAGGATACAGGCCGGGGATCCCGTGGCACGGTACTTCGGAATAAAGCGTGGTCAGGTAAGAGAGAAATAGGTTTGGGCGACAGCTCCCTGTGGGCAGGGCAAGGAGAGGAGATCCTCGACAGTATTTCAGAGCTCTTGGAGACAGGAGGGGTCTCTCTTTCAAACGTAAAAGCTGCTGTAGGTTAGGTACGGATGTGTGTAAGGCGAGCAGGGTTTAGCGAGGACGCGGCAGTCTCAGCTGAACCAGTAACAGGCAGCAGATGTGACACCACCCCCACGGTCTGTGATCTCCCCCTCCCCTTGTGCTGGGGGGGGACACTTCCATGCTGTGCCCACACCTGAAGCGGGGAGCTCAGCGCAGCCATCTGCGGCTGCTGAGTGCCGCAACTTTACAGCCACGCTGTCGGGGTCTGCGTGTGCGCCTGTGTCGGGCAGGGAAGCCCTGCAGGGGCAACGCCGCCAGCTTCTCTCCCTCACGAGTTCCTCTGTCGGCCCTCCAGGTCGTGAAGATCATAAGGCCGAGTGAGACTGCGGGCCGCTACATCACCTACAGGCTGGTGCAGTGACCAGAGCGATCGGGTAAGGCCGAGCACGAGACCCTCCGGCTATCGGAGGGCTTTGAGCAGTGCCTTAGAATTACGCTGGGACTTTCCTGGATTGACCTGAAGTGAGCTGCTTCCAGAAAAAGATTATCTCAAAACTTTAAATTGTTTGTGGAGGGCACTGTTAGTGAGAGGACAGACCAGAGCAAGGCTTACCTGGGTCCTGCCTCAGTATCCACCGTGCAGGACGTGTCTGTCGGTGTTCAGGGCGTTCGGTGGGGTTTGGCCGTGGGAGTCGTCCATCTACTGAGGGAGGCGTGAGGACATTCACATCCCGAGTTCTCTCTTCCAGGTGTGGGAGAGTTGTGCGACACCTTCTCATCTTCCCATCCACCAGCAATTTACAGACCCTCTGAGATGTCTGCCTTTTCGTAGAGGGATGGCCAAGAAAATTCCCTGCAGTGATGTTGCTTTGCCTAATTCTTTGTTTTCCAGCGTAGACTTTGCTGTAACTCCTCAGTGTTCATTAAGGACTCAAGCCATGGAAGTAACCTGAAGCAACAGAAGTGTGCGGGGAGGAAGCGAGTGGAAAAAGGCCTTTGCTTTCCTATTTTATTTTATAGGATCTTATTTTTATTAAAGTTTGTACTCTCGCTGTTACTCACTGGTATGTATTTCTCAGCCTCTCCCTGTACCAAGAGCTCACTGTGCCCAACTCCGAACTGTCATGTGCAGTTTTGGCGCTGCAGTTCAGACTCGCCTCGTTGCGTACCTTACCTGTTCTACCCTCTGGCCCTTGTTTTGAGGCCTTGGTGCTCAGATATTGCAGTGGAGAGTTGTTTATCACCCTCCAGTCGCTTTCATTTTAATCTGTTTCAGGTCTCTTCAGGGTTTTTAAACTTCAGTTTACTTGCTAGAAATACTTTGAGTAGTTCCTTACGGTGCTTAGCCTCCTGCGGCCACAGGCGTATGAGTCTGAAAGACTCTGATCTCCAGGACAGGCGCGGGTTGGAACACACTGATTTTATTTATTTTTTTTGAAGTATGTCAATCTGAACACAGCAAAACTTGTAACGCAGTTTCATACAGCAGTACAGGCATGTCATAACAAACACACTTTACTCTTTCCACGCTGAATTAATAGAATACAATACAAATAGAAGGACGCCTGTTACCATGTGAAGCTCAAGCGTAGCTTTTGTCCCTTCCCTCACTCGCATTCACCCGTCATCCATCCTCGCAAACACACGTGGTACCGCCGTGGTAGCAGTGCTGGTGGCAAGAGAGGGCAGCCGGCCCCGTTCCTCTTGCTACCGTGGAAATGACTTGCTGGAAAAATCCAACCATCTTGTTGAAGAGCTGCGGAGCAGAATGGCTCACAGGTGTCCCTGGCTCTTCCTTGGCTCAGTTATAAACCATTTAGTTGTAAATTAACAGTGGTTTTGTGTACCTTTGAGCTGAGATGCATTTCCGATTAGTCTTGGAGAGCTCTGGCGCCGTAAAGCCTGAGCTCTCCCCTGTGCTGGAGACTGATCCTCTACGGGGTCAAACGTCTGGTGATGGCCCAGTTCTACAGTAACGAGGTGCGTACAACCCCCCAGACACCGCTCAGTGGATCCGCAGCTGGAACATCGCTCCCCTGGCCGGGCTCTGCCTCCGCCTCACCCCTCGCTGTCCCGTGGGGGCGGCCGCTCGGCAGAGCCGGAGCGGTGAGGGCTGATGCGGGAGCAGAGAGCGCGAGAGAGGAGCTGGTGTCCGGCACCCCGCTGAGGAAGGGTCTGGCTAATTACTAGAAAACAGCTTTGGCTTTGTGCGGTTTCTCAGGAGCCGTGGGCCGCGCGTCGCTTGTGCGCGAGGTGCCCTTGCGTGTCTGTCCCCGGCCGGGAGCGCTTGGCCTCTGCCCGGGACAGGTCTAGCGGCACGCTCAGCGGTGACGGCAGGAACACAGCCCGGGCACAAGCAGGGTAATAGAAGGAAACAGCTTTCAGCTCTTTCTAAACTTAAAATCTACTTGTTTCTCTACACTTCAGTGCAGAAAAGTCTCATAAATTTAAAAAAAATACTTCAATTCATGGCTTAAAAAAAAATACTTTGCCAGCAGAGGTAGTGGATTCATGTGGAAGGGTTATCTCTTTAAAAAAACAAAACAAAACAAAAGCCTGTTAGACTGGCGGGGCTGTGACTCTGTTTGGGCCGTGGAGGTCCTGAGGAGGCGGCGTCTCCCCTTGGGGACCTGCTCTCTGCCCAGCTCCACCTCGGGGCCGGCTGGGAGAGCAAAGGTGCACTCCTGGACTTGCAGCTTAGGTTTTTGGAGACCAAACATCTCTCAAAAAAAACCAACCCCTGAGAGATGAGGCAATGCTCAGGACCCTGCAGCCAGGAAAACCTGTGCCCAAGCTTGCTCACAGCCGGCGGGTTGCTCTTAGCGTGGCTCCTGCCGAGTAGAAAAATGCCCATAAATACAAGCAGCAATGCCAACCTTGTCAGCCCAGCCGGGGACGGCACGTCGCTGGTGGAGTCCTGTGTCGCTTAGAAGTGCCGGGGCAGTAAATTCATCGCTGGGCGTCGAGTGCCCAGTGCAGTCAGTTATAAATGATGGATGTACCTCACCGGGCCGGGCAGACGGTGCGGTTGTGGCCCTACAGCTGAGGCCGGCTCTGGGCGAGACGGCATGGGTGGCTTTTACGTGGCTACGCCGAACCCAGTGCTCCTCTGCCCGTGTCCCCTTCCCATGAGCCATTCCCCAGGCTGGCAGGGCCAGCCCGCGCGTGGTGCTCGGCGTTGTCCGTCTGTCTGTGCCCTTCTCCTGCCCGCTGTTGGGCACCTCTCCCTGTGCCACCTCCCGGCAGCCCCTTCTCCCCTTCCAGCCGCGGCCCGCGC